CTTGACACAGTAAATTTTTGTTTTTTAAGAAGCCACAGTTTTTGTATGCTTTCTTTATAATGATATCAATATGATCAGACCATCCTAAGTTGGACGACAGAAGTATCACAAGATGTTTGTGTTCTGTAACATATTCCAATTGGCAATTGTCAAAAAATTAATGCTGCACATTTTTTGAATTAAAAAATACAGCTTTGGTTTTCTGTGGGTTAAATTTCAATAACCATTTCTTTGACCATTCATCTAGTATTCTAAGATCATGGTTAAGGTTTTGTTCAATATGATTTATATTATCTGAACATTGTTTAAGGAATTATCATCAGCATATCATCTACAAACAGATATCATATTTTCAGCCACATCATTTACATACAATAAAAATAACAAGGGACCAAGTACTGAACCCTGAGGAACTCCAGCTTTTACATGTCCTACAGAGGAAAAGTGATTTCTATACATGACTTGTTGTATTCTATTGCTTAAATAACTATCAAACCAATCTAGCATATCACCATTGATTCCATACATTTTTAGTTTGTGAATTAAGCCTTTATGCCAGACTCTATCAAATGCCTTGGATAAATCACAAAACACCATACAACAGAATTTACCTTCATCAATACTTTTTACTATAGAATGGTATGTTTCTAAATGTTGATATACTGTGGAATGACCTGGTAAAAAACCTGCTTGATATTTATAAAATATATTATGTGAATACAGGAAATTGTATACATGTTTAAAAATGATTCTTTCAGAAATTTTGCTTATACAAGTCAGCAAAGAAAATGGTCTATAATTTGTAGTGATGCAAGGGTCATCTTTCTTAAATAGTGGAAGAACATGTGCTAGTTTCCAGCAGTCTGGAAAAGTTTTTATATTAGTGTTAGGGGTTTGTTGAATAGTATACACAAAGGTTTTGAGATAGTGTCTTTACATTTTATGGCTGATGCAATTAGGACCAACTGCTTTATTAACAGGAATAGAAATTATATCAATAATTTCCTGTTCTTGTATTTTTATATCCGGAAAATTATCCTTACATCTAGACACTATATTTGGGAGCTCCTGATTACTGTCATCTAAGACTGTAATTGATGTGAAATATTTGTTCAATAGTTCAATTTTATCTATGTCTGAAAATGCAAAACTTTCAGTGCCATTGTTGGCTGTAAACTGAATAGGTGGAATTTCATTTGTTGGTTTAATGTGAAAAATGTCTTTCAGTAACTTCCAGTATAGTTTTTGATTGTTCAGAAAGCATCCTTAAGATGAGAATCTATATTGTCATAATAGTTTTTGATAGCATATTTTTTCATGTTATTAAACTTATTCCTTACCTTCCGAAAAGTTTCCAAATCAGATTCTCTTTTTGTTTTTTGTGCTATTTTTCTTAGCCTATTGCGAATATGCAAAGTTTTCTTTAGAAGAGAATCCATCCATGGTTTATCATTTGGCCTTATGGTTACAGTTTTTTCGGGTACGCATTGGAGAATAATAGAATTAAACTTTTCCGTGAAGTTTGCTGTTGCAGTATTATTGTTTTCTGTAGCATCAATAAGGCTATTCCAGTCGCATTGTAGGATTAAACCATTAAGGAGTTCTAAACCTGCATGCTTATAGTTCCAAATTTTACGTTTATATGCCGCATTAACATTGGTATTCTTGTGAATATATATATAAGTTGCTTTATGATCACAAACTGTATTACTAACTTTTAATGTTCCAGAATCATGTACATGTATATTGTCACTAATGATAGGATCTATAAGGGTTTCTGTATTGCAGGTAATTCTTGTTATACCCCCGCTCCGAAGGAGAGGTGGTATACTGTTTTACCCTTGAGTGTCTGTCTGTCTCTCTGTGTGACCGTGTGTCTGTGTGTCCGAGTGTCTGTCCGTAACAAATTTTGGTCACAGTTTTCTCAGCAACTACTCATCACAGATGCTTGAAATTTTAGCACAATCTTTGTTTAGGCATGCCATATGGTCGGATTTATTTTTGTTCGAATCCGATGTCAACTTCCTGTTTATCCGTGCGTCTGTCGGTACCAAATTTACGTCGCATATTTCTCAGCAACCACTCAGCGAAGATGCTTGAAATTTTAGCACAATCTTTGTTTAGGCATGCCAAATGGTGGGATTTGTTTCTATATGAATTAGATATCAACTTCCTGTTTATCCGTGCGTCTGTCCATAACAAATTTTTCGTTGCAGTTTTCTCAGCGACTACTCATCACAGATGCTTGAAATTTTAGCACACCCTTTGTTTAGGCAGGCCAAATGGTGGGATTCATTTTTGTTTAAATCTGACGTCAACTTCCTGTTTATCCATGCATCTGTCTGTACCAAATTTCCGTCACAGTTTTCTCTGCAACTACTCAGCGAAGATGCTTGAATTTTAGCACAATCTTTGTTTAGGCATGCCAGATGGTGGGATTCATTTTTGTATGAATTCGAGGTCAACATGAGAGGGTATATTCACATCAGAGCGGGGGTTTTACTAGTGAGCATTCGCTCACAGACTTCTTGTAGGTTCATGTATGATATTTGTTAATCTAACAGCTGTTCATAATTGTATGAATCTCATGTGAGTTGTTAACTTTTAAGAAATCAGTGTTAAGGTCACCAAGTACTACAATATTGCTGGAAATATCACAAGGACCAAGATAGTTTTTGCCAAAAGACACTATTAGTTTTTGGTGGACGATAAATACAGCATATAAGTAGATTTCCCTTTACTTGTGGTATTTCTATCCAAATGAGTTCAGTATCAATGGGTTCTAAATCTTCTCTTCGACTAGCCTTATACCATAAATCATTACACCTCCACCATAAGAATTGCGATCTTTTCTGAAAATATTCTTAAAACCTTCTATGAACACTTTCATTTGTAACATGTGTGTCTATATGAGTCTCACTAAAACATAGTATATCAAAATCTTGATTTAAATACATTAGGGAATCAATCTTATTTCTGATGCTTCTAATATTAAGGTGTAGTATATCAAGAGGGTTTGGAGCAGGTGGGCCTGGATTTGTTTCAATATCACCAGATAGCAGTAGAGTGACAAACACGAATAATTGTGCAAAAAAATTAATTCTGAGAGACCAAGATGCCATATTTTTATATTGTTTTTTGGGGATACTGGATATGAATAGCAAAATATCTAATAGTGTAGTAGATTTTGAAAGCAGACCTTGACAGTATATTATGACATTTAATGTAAAAAACCCATAATTTTTATCAAATATAACTACGTATTAGCGTTTTTGACGTCAGAATGAAAATGTTGATTGTATATGTTATGGGTCAGAATAACCTGAAATGCCTGCAAAAATCAATCACACAGTTTAAACTTAACAACAACTTATTTACAGTAATATATAAAAATCAAAAATTACAAACTTACAGCAAGGACTCAAAAATACATACAATAGAGTGTCCTTTAATGTACACATAATGTCCCATTGAGAGTATGGAACACCTATCTTATCCCAGTCTCTTAGTACTCAAGTTCTTTTGTGCTCAGGTCTTCATTTTGTACTCAGTTCCTTTTGTACTCCAGTCTTATGCATACAATCGGCAGCATAGTTATACATTAACGTAAATCTAGAAAATTCTAGAAATTGTAAATACAAGATGTTACCGGAACATTCTTGACACACACGGAATTCAAGATTCACGAATGTTCTAGAAAAAATGACCATACATGTTGACCACTCCGGAATGCTCCATTTTTTTTAATCAATATAGGCGTCTCCATATGAGTGAAAAATTCTCAAGAGGGACGTTAAACAACATTCAATCAGTTAATCAATATATACATGATAAAGCGATACAAACACATTTATATTACAGCAAACCTCACATTACCTTTCCCTTAAAAAGGTTTTAATGTCAATGAAAACTTAAATTGTCAAAATAATATATATGTACATCAATGCAAAAACTTAGTATATTCATGATAATCTTGACAAGGCATCTGCGATAACAGTGTCTTTGCCCTGATGTGTTTAATAGTTATATTGTATTCAATAACAAACTCCACCTAGTCAGTCTTTGATTCTTGTTTGACAATTTATGCAAAAATGTCAGGGGATTGTGATCCGTATATACAAGAACTGGATGTAAAGTACATTCAAATAAACATCAAAATGCTGTAAAGCTAACAACAAAGCAAGACATTCTTTTTCAATGGTAGCATAATTTTGTTGACATTTTATGTTTCTTTGAAAAATAAGAAACAACTCTACCTTATCACTTTGCTCTTGAAACAAAGCTGCTCCGATTCCAACATCACTAGTATCAACAGTAAGCTTGAATTGCTTAAAAAAAATCTGGAGCTGAAAGAACTGGATTGCTCATAAGAACATTCTGGACATACACGAAATTGAAGACTCAAGAATGTTCTAGATAAAATTACCGTAAATGATGACCACTCCGGAATGTTCCAGAAGTCTTTTTATGTTACTCAATATATACATGATAATACAAACATTTAAATTACAGCAAACCTCACAATATATACGTGTAACAAAGCAATGTATTTTCAAACTCCTGAAGATTGAAAATGAAACCAGTATTGTACAATATAAACTTATAAAATCTTTCCACCTGGAAAACTGGGTCTAGACATGACCCCCCCCCTTTTAGAGTAGAATTTCCCCCACGTAAATCCCACATCAGATTCCATTTTTCCGGGGGGGGGGGGGGGTCCTACCCTGTTTTATAGTTATAGGGTGCGATTTCCCAAGAGTCAATCCCCCATATATTATTAATTTATCCAAAAGCATATTTTCGTTCTAATTTCGGAGCAAGGCCAATCTATGGAATATTAAAGTTTCTTTCTGTCTATCTATGTTAACCTTATCTTTACTAAATACCCAATTTTTGCTGTAGATAATAAGTGCTGTTGTGTGCCTGGTTATCCATTTCCTATGTCATTTAAACTAAAATGATAGGTTATTCTTTTTTCTTTTTCTTTTTTTTGAATTTAGGCAATTATGAGATTGAGCAACGGAGAGCTTCAAGCAGATGTATATAAACTGCAAAAAGAAACCGAGCATAATGAGAGAAAATCCTGTGACGACAAAAAGAATGGGTAATTGGTTGGTATGTTGAACAACTTTACCATAAAGCCGCGATTTTTTTAAACTTGAAAAATGTATGTGGAAAATAAAGCTTTATTTTCCAGGTAAAATTCGCTTTTTCATAAGCTTATTTTTCTGCCAATGTAATGCCTCAAGGAAATAAATTGTTAATTTTGATATAAATGGGATTAACTGTTTATTTTAAACATCTTAAAATTAAAACCAAAAAAATAAGAAATAAAAAAAAGATAAAAAATGAATTAAAAAACAAAATATACCGTGATGTTAATTTCGCAGCACTGTTAAGGCTTCATAACAGGCGGATCTCATTATATATATGGGATATGTTAACTGTGACATTACGCAAAAATATCAACTCTTCAAAATACGAGAAAATATAATTTGCAGTTTTGATTTGTTTTAGAGTATTAAACTTACCAATGCGTTCATTTTTGTTGCTAGTTAAATACCACATAGCAACGTATAAACAAGTAACTTTGCTCAATGCACTTGTTGAGATGATACTAATGTGGTAAATTGTGACGCATTTTGTGTGGTGAGAGGCAGATTGAGTAATTTTTTTCACAATGAAAAATGCATTTTATTTATTGACAGAATTTTGTTTAGAGATGTTAAAGAGATAAATTCTAAAACGTAGCATTTGTTGAATGCTATTATTCAATTAATAGAGAGATGGAAAATATTCACTGTGTTTTCTGAACAAGAATGGTAAACTGAACATGGAGGTGCCTATCAAATTGCCTTTTCGCAGGGGCATATGCTTAATGATTCTTGGCCACATTTTAAATATAGATAAATGAAATATTCCTTAACTTGAAAAGTGATGCTGCTTTCGTGGAATCAAGAATGATACTTATGCTGGTTAGGTTCCAGTGTCTTTCATTTTTAGCAACCTTAATTATTATTATTTAAAGTAATAAAAATGTTTTTTTTTTTCTATATAAAGCAGAAGCACTCTCCAGGAACTACAAGATATTTGAATTACAGTAAGCATTTGCGATATTGAAATTTGTTTTTAAGCTCCATGCGATACAAATTTTATGCATGTGTCATTAAATCGTCAAATAAGTTACTAAATTAAATTTATCTTAACGTGTGGTATACACAATTATTTCAATTCATATTAAACTAGTACGATAGTATAAAGGCTTCACAGAACGAACGAAATTAAGCTTAAAAAGTATTTATTTTTGCATGTCCAAATTCCGTTAATTTCTTCATAATAAGCCTTTACAGTGCTGCTTTTATGATTTATATATGTGTACATTTTTTTAAGATCCATATATGATTTTTTTATCAAACTAATATAAAAAAAGCCTAACCATTATTTAATGTGTCTCTTATTCAATGGTATACATTATTGTACATGTAGTTTTTGACTCTTACAAGGTATTTTTTATCTTAAATAGCAGTAATATCTTTAACTTAATATTGTTATTAACGTTGTTGCTGTGAAATTCGATTATATAAACTTTTTTTTTTTGCTCTTTTTGAATGCAAGATTCATTGCATTTGATTATCAGCTCACGGAAGGCCCGTGACATTGCAGTTGACCATGTTTTACTAAATTTGCAATACAACATCTATTTTTAAAACGAATTTAACATTTTTTCAATAAGTTGTAAAGTCCTATTAAAAAAAAATTCACAGAGAAAATATTTTATTGTTTTTGTCAATCAATATTTTTTTTAATTCAGAATTATTTAATAAAATATGTACAATGGTGCACATTTCATGAGATTTTCAACAAATTGTTTGAATGGTTGCATATACAACCCTTACCGTATAGAGTTCTTTATGTGGAAGAAATGTTTACTAAAATTAACGAATTTGTTTTAAATTGTTCAGCTAAGCAAGAAACATTGAAGTTAGTCTTGAAATGATTATGTTTTTATTCTTTTTTTAAACTCATTCAATGTCTTTATTGGGCTTTTCTATCTGATCAAAGTTTTTCACTCGTTCTTCCGTCCATCTGTCTATAATCCATATTTTTGTGTACTTACCTTTTTGTCATTTTCTCTAAAATCGCCGGGTCAGTGTCAACGAATTTAAGCATCTGAAGATGAAATTATTCAAATTGTTCAAATTAAAGAAAGCTTCAAAGTAGTAATATTTAAAAAAAAACAAACAAACAAAATAATCTAAAAAATTAACAGGCCTTGAACTGTCAAATTTTATATAAGCAAATGTCTGATAGTGCAAATTCAAACTGTCAATATTTTCACGACCTTTAAATTCTTTTTTTTATATTTGAATTTTCCACATTGTTATCAATCATAATAAATTGCAATCATCCTATTGTTGTGCAGGTTCCACGGTACCTCCGTGAATATGATTAGGTCAAGGAAAGGAATCTCAGTTTTATGCTAACAAAATCTTTGAAAATATTTTTTTTAAACAAAGAGGCCGTAATTAGCAAAATTATTATGCGAATAGGCTTGATAAAGTTCAGTTCCCGGAATCATGAATCAACTTAAGCTTAAGTCAAAGTTTTTAATTTAAATTATTAACTTAATTACAGTTAGTACATGTTTCTCACATCAAACAAAGGGTTTTTGCTGATACCAAATGACTTGGTACACTCCAAGCCCAAGCTTCGTGGTTGAGTAACTAAGCCTTTGTTTTTATAATTATTAAAACTATCATTATCATTCATAGGTTATAATCATGGACACATGGGCAAACTCACTAAAAACAATGAATGTTGGGCCTGAGGTGCTCAGCTGTCTATAAAATCACAGAATTAGTAAAAACTAAGTACTCTCTCTTTCTCCCTTTCTCTGAATTAATTATTAAACTACATTGGCCAAAATTAAAACAGAAATTTAAGCAAGTTTTATTTATCAAGGATAATATGCTATGTCACTGATACTAACCTACATGATAGAGCAAAAAATTAAAAAAAATTACTCACTATATTGTTTTCATCCAAAGAGGGCACAGCAAGAAATCAAAACACCATTAAATACAAATTTCTGTAGAATTCTCTGCTTTTCTTAAGCAATTTCAGGAAGAGCACCAGATAACCATAATTCGACTCTTCATCTACACCCCCCCCCCAAAAAAAAACATCACTAATGTTCAAAAGACCGCTAAATTCCTAACTAAAATCCAGTAGAAACTAAGACATGATGCCTTCATACATCGCTGAAGAGATTTGAACCTACTTAAGTCTGAAAACTATTTAATGTGAACCGCCACCTGCCTTTTTGCAAAAAGTAAATATACCTCGAGGGTGTAATTATCACATTTGGGCTACACCATTCATTACTTAATCATGATACAAAAGAAGCACACTAGAGTTGTGATGAAATTGACAGAAATACAAAGAATTTAATTTCTCGTGTAAAACATGTACTAAGTATGTTATTCAATTTTTCCCTTTCCATTCGATTTTGTCGTTCGCTTCGCTCATCACCAAATCTCATGGTACTCTGGAAATGTTTACCAACATATACGTATTATTTAAAGGGAAAATTTGAAACCAATACAGCATGACGAAGGCATCTCGGGCAAGTGCTGTGGTCCCTGGACCTAATATTCTTGATCTATTTTAAATACATCAATCATTTGCCACTCATATGAAAGATTTTCAGAAATTTGAGTATAACGTGACCGAAATTGTTCTCTAAATTGACGATTTTATTTAAAAAAAAAAGTCATTCATCCCAGTGAGAATTTTCTTTTCTTATCAGAGGTTCGATGAACCTTATGTAGCATGTTCTCAGGATAAAGCTCTGACGTCTAGTTAACTAAAGGATCACTGAAAGTTGACTGGATGTCAAAGCTCTGCATTCAGTGACCTTCAGTTGAATGAATTTTGTAGGTTCATCCTGTGGTCTTTCTTTGAACATGTTGAACAAACACTTGACCAAAGAGCTTTGTAAAATATTAATATTGACTACACATGATTTTTTTTCTTTTCCTAAATAAATCATAATTCACAACAATTTCTATTTTATTTTTCGTGTAAATTGTTTCAATTAGATTTGCAGATGAAATTAGATCTTTAAAGTTATTTCATGTATAATCTTTACAAAAAATAAAAATCTAGCAGGCCATGGGCAGTCTAAACGTTAATGCAAGCATCTCTGATAGTGCGTATTCAAACTGCCCATAATAAATGGCATTTACATTTTGTAATATTTGAAATTTAAAACATTGTGAACAATGATATAATATATATCATTCTATAGTATATGAAGGTGGGTCACAAAAGAAGGCTCAGTATTTACAGGTAATACAGCTTCGCGCACTGTTGAAACCCACCTGGATTTTCACACAAATAAAAGTCACATTGTTACAATGCAATATTTGTGATACAAAAAAAAAACATTTTAGAAATGATTGTTAATCTTATTTTATTTTTATTTCACTTATTTTATTTCAAAGTATAATTCACAGATAATATATGACAGGTCACATTTTACACTTCCCTTTGGTTTTTTTTTTTTTTATGGTTTCTTGCCTATAGCAGCTGTGCTTGTTCCCGTTCTTTTGAAAGCAGTAGTCTTTGCAGAAAAGTAGTTTTTCATTTCACTATTTCGAATAACTTTAACGGAATTGATGTTTTTCACTGAATTAAGGATATCATGTTTCATTTTACATTCCTTTTCTTCAACTCTTACATTAATTTCCTATCCTGCAATGCTAAATTCTTGAAGATTCGCTCATGACTGTAGGTGACTTTTTCCCTTGCCTAGACACCGACACGGCACAGCTCCTGTAACTTGACTGTATTTTCTGTGCATTTACATGACTTTTTAGCGCAAGATGATAACAATATTTCCATCTGTTCGATTGATTTCCATGTTAAAGAGGTTGTATCCTGTTATCAAAAGTATTGAGAATTTTTTATCAAGTATATTTCTTTTAGAATCTACACACAAAGCTTAATTAAAAATCAAAACAAGAAAATGGGAGTCAGTGCTCTTCTTTTGGTGCTACAGGGCATTTGATATGACCTTTTTGCAGTGTAATTACGCCTAACGCAAAAATCAGTTTTTCAAAGTTTTTCTTCTAATATTTTTTATCGTAATAAATTATGGAAACAAACACAGTCTTTTTCCATCTTACTAGTCATATTTAGATTTATTAAACAAAAAAGTTTCAAATTACCTCGCATGTTCAATTATTTGACCTTTGTGCACTCAAAAAATGTCTTCTGGCATTAAAAATTTAACAAGCATAAAAATGATTTGAAATTAATGACATTTTACTGAATTTAAGAAGAATGGTTAAAAGTATCTTATATATTCTGGAAATAAAATTAAAAGTGGGGGTCTGTGATGATAATTTTTAGATATAACTAAAATAGTGCTAATTTTTAGCTTAAATTGGGGTTATTTTTTCCCCTTGATTTTATTAATATATTTGCTATATTTGTCAAATATATGATAGAATTCATAGCAGTTAATTGAATAATATAATTTTGGATCAGCACAAAACAGTTCACGGCACAAAATAACTTTGTGTGCAGGTTGCATGGAAAAATAGGAATTCAAACTTAACAATACTTTAAATACTTCAAAAGGGAAAAAATGATCATTTTCTTCTAAGAAACCTTCCGTCACAAAATATTGTTCCTTACTTAATTAATGCTTTTGGTATGGAATTTAATCTTGGTATTTTAACTAAATATAGTTTAATTGGCATTGTAGAATCCAAATGTTTTGTAAAAACTAAAACATAATGCAGAATTTGAAATATAGGTCAAGACAAAAACCTGTTCAAAAGCTCAGGATCGAACCTCTTTAAAAGCTTATATTTTTCAGAGTTACCTCTGAAATCTAGCTTTATGAGAGATTCGTTTAAATGCAAAATTACAAGTTTTACACCGTAAATTTAAGAAAATCTTCTTTCAATAGTAACATTTTAATACTTTTAAAAGATAAGCAATACTTCATTATCATTTGCCATGGTTTCTATCCGCAGCGTTGTCAATTTTTGGCGCTTCATTTCAACAAAACTTAGACGAGTATGATAAATAAGCAGTGAACTTAGAAAAATAATCACCCTTAAGAAAGAAATTGAAAAAATTTCAAATAAATAGTATTGTAACGATTTTGATGTAACGATTATTTAGATGACTGACTATTTTTTGGACGAAATCTCTACAAGATCTACAACATTTTAGCAACATTTTAAATCGGCTTCATGAAAGTTTGCATTTTACAATGGAAATCAACGAAAACAAATTGCCATTTTTAGACATTCTTATTATAAAAGAGGGAAGAAAAATCATAACGGATCTCTACTATAAGAGCAGATTCCCATCAATATTTGATTTGATTTTCAACTCATGCCATCCCTCCCATACCAAACGAAACATCCTATTTAATATGACCCGGAGAATTTGTACTATTGTTATAGATGAGGAACGCAGAAATACAAGACTATCTGAACTTAGAATATTTCTGTCAAGACAAAAATATCCATCTTACTTAATTGAAGCTGCAATACAAAAGGCGAAGGAAACACCCGTCAATGAACTACGAAGAGGAGGAAAGCAACGAAAAGATCCCTTTTGTTCTTACTCACAACCCAAGAAATCACAACATATTTAAAACCGCCAAGCAATATTTCCCTATTCTTCAATAATCAGAAACACTAAGGGGCCTTATTCAACCCAAGGATATACTACATAGCAGACATCAACCACCTAATTTGAAAAAAGTTCTTACTACAGCCAAATTTACATCAAACCCTGAAAAACCGAAAGTTTCAAAGTGCGAGGATCCTCGATGCGGAACCTGTCAAGTTCTACAAACCGGCCAATCCATTATTTTTAAAAACGGAATGAAGTTCGACATAAAATCTTCAATGACTTGCAAATCTAAAAACCTTATATATTGTATGACATGCCCTAAGTGCGAGGAAAATTATATAGGACAAACCGGAACCAAATTAGCCGACCGTGTTCGCGTGCATAAGCAACAGATTAAGGACCCGACCATAAGAAACACGCCATGTAGTGAACACTTTCAATCCTGCGGCAAAGGCAATTTTTATATATTCCCTTTTTATAAAGTAAAAGAGGAAAATGAACAATTACGGTGAGCATTATTTCATAAAACTGTTTAAACCAAAACTTAACTGTTAAATTAATTTTATTTCAAATTATTTTATTATGTACATTTTACATAGAATGTCTCCATTATTGTGCATAAAAATAGGCGCTATAACTTTATCAGATGAACTGTAAATCTTTATCTCAGCGCCTCATTTAATTGTGATTATTATAACGTCACAATCACATTATGTTTAACTTTGCCTTTATAACGTCACGAGAATGACGTCATAATGTAACTTGTTTATTATTTCTAATCTACTGATGAGCCCGCATGGGCGAAAGCGCCATAGATTAAGGTTTGAGTTTTTCATTTAAATTTGGATTTTATTTTATCCCTATACCAAGGAAAAAATATTTTATATATATATATATATATATATATATATATATATATATATATATATATATATATATATATATATATATATATATATATATATATATACCAATACTTTAATTATCATGATTACTTACTTATTATCTACAAGTATTAGTATTATTATGTCATCATCCTGCGAGATGATGTAGGACTAATTTTATGTTATTGTATTTCGATGGAGCTTAGTCAGGGCCCCATCCCTGGCAGCTGCCATATAGATTCGTGTAGGGAATTCTAATGTTATAGCATAGGTCTGGGAAATAAATTTAAAAAAAATAACACTTACTATGCTATATTTAGAAAATCGTAAGATTTTTTTCTGATGGTGAGTGGTCGTATGATCCAAGTAACAACTGAAAAGATCATAAACAATCCAATAAAAATAATTGCTGAAATAAACCAAACGCTCACTTGTTTATCTCAAAGTATTACGAGTATTTGTTTGTGACGTTCTTTGATTGTATACATTGCCTCATTCAACTAGTCTTAAGATACATGTTTATCAATAATATTTTATATAAGTATAGCCCTTTTATGAGGTCAATCCATAGATGTATCGACTTCACGGAACAGCATATCGACTGAACACGAAGTGTGAAGTCAATATGCTTTTCTGTGAAGTCGATATATCTACATGTATGGATTGACCAAATCAGAGGGCATCATTTGTTATATTATTTTCTTTGGAACAAAAAGAAACAAACAAATTCATTATTAGATTTTGTTAAGTTTTGAAGACCCCTCACTATTAAAAACACATCTTGGATTTTCCCTAAGTTATTTTTAGTCACTCAAGTCATTACAAGCAAGCCAATTGGATTGATTGAATTACACAATATATATATATATATATATATATATATATATATATATATATATATATATATATATATATATATATATATATATATATATATATATATATATAAAGCACTAAAAATGACCAACGACACGAACAATAATAATTGTCAAATTTTCGGGACAACCTGTCCCTTCCTCAGGACAAAGAAAAAAGTTAAGAAGTCATAAAAACAAAGGAAATAGAGAAGCAAAAACAACTAGCACTACTACTAAACTACCAAACACTAAATATTTACAATGTTACATGTTTAATTTTGAGTTTATAGACAGTTGTGAACAAAGAAATCCGGAGCGCTATGAATTGCGTCCGGTCTATCGGGTGTACTCTGGTGAAGTGTGATTTACATAATTGAACGAATTAATTATCGCTAATTAATTACGGCCAACAGTAAATCGTACATTGTCTTATTCTCTCAAAATAGCGTAACTCTACATGATAACAAGAAATTAAAGAAAGATAATATGGAAGGACAATTTTGAAATATGAATTTGGATATATTATAAATTTGGAAATCGGAAAAAAGAAATAAACAAAAATGTGAGCTGTAAATATTTGGGTAGGTTGTTCCAGGATTACTAATACGAATTAACGGTAAAGTTTACACTATATAGAGAGAATGAACTTGTTTGTTACAATTCGGGATCGGGTCTAGTTCACGTTCATCCTGGTGAAGTCATTAAGTTTGTTAATACCATTAGGGCGGAATGACTTCAGCCTGTGCATCCAGAACTTTTCCTTGCCTTTTCTCTGCGCGTCTGTCCATCTTGGATTATGGTCAATAACCACTACTGTCATGTCCTCCCATTTGTGACCTTCAAGGTTGAAATGTTCCCCAACGGGTTCATTAAGGTTTTTGGTCCTAATGGTAGAACGGTGATTATTGACTCTCCTGCGGAGATCTCCTGTTTCACCAACATACTGTTTGGAGCAAACTTTGCAGCTGATGAGATAAATGCAGTTGTCTGTTTGACAGGACAAATTCCCTAGTATTTTGTAGCTGCGGTCTGTAACGGGGCTGTTAAAACTGTCTGTGTCAGAGCTGTACTTACAGAGAAGACATCTTCTGTCAGAGCAAGTTTTAAAGCCCCCGTTAGGTAATGGATTGTCCAATCTGGTTCTTACTACCATGTCCTTCAGGTTCCTCGGGCGCCTGTATGCAGCCAATGGGGGCTCCTTAAAGACCTCTGCCATTCGTTTATTTGAGTGGAGAATTGGTAGATTCTTTTGAAGGATACCGCTGAGGTTCTTAAGGACGGGATGGTATGTGGTTACCAGAGGGACCCTGCCGCTATTGTCTTTTTCCTTGTAGCGTAATAGGTTTTGCCTGTCATGTCCCGGCATCTCATCAATAGCAGTTTGTACGGTGCGGGCATTGTAGCCTCTCTTGCATAAGTGGGACTTAAGGAGACCGCTTTGTTCTTGATATAAGGCAGGGGATGAACAGATGCGCCGAATTCTGGTGGCTAGACCCTTAGGCACACCCTTAAATGTGTGTGGGGGATGACAGCTAGTTGGCATAAGATACAGATGGGAATCTGTGGGTTTCGTGTGGAGACTGAACTCGATTTCACCATCAGTCAGGGTAGATGTAGTATCTAGGAATATGTTTTTTCGAATTAGATACGTCTACTGTAAATTTGATAGACTGATGAAAGGTGTTGGCGAACGAAATGAATGCCTCGAGGCTCTCGCGACATTCCACCCACTTCATCTCTATATCGTCAATGAAACGCAACCAGCTAAGGGGCCTAAATGGTGCTTGAAGTAGCAATGCCCGCACCGTACAAACTGCTATTGATGAGATGGCGGGACATGACAGGCAAAACCTATTACGCTACAAGGAAAAAGACAATAGCGGCAGGGTCCCTCTGGTAACCACATACCATCCCGTCCTTAAGAACCTCAGCGGTATCCTTCAAAAGAATCTACCAATTCTCCACTCAAATAAACGAATGGCAGAGGTCTTTAAGGAGCCCCCATTGGCTGCATACAGGCGCCCGAGGAACCTGAAGGACATGGTAGTAAGAACCAGATTGGACAATCCATTACCTAACGGGGGCTTTAAAACTTGCTCTGACAGAAGATGTCTTCTCTGTAAGTACAGCTCTGACACAGACAGTTTTAACAGCCCCGTTACAGACCGCAGCTACAAAATACTAGGGAATTTGTCCTGTCAAACAGACAACTGCATTTATCTCATCAGCTGCAAAGTTTGCTCCAAACAGTATGTTGGTGAAACAGGAGATTTCCGCAGGAGAGTCAATAATCACCGTTTTACCATTAGGACCAAAAAACTCAATGAACCCGTTGGGGAACATTTCAACCTTGAAGGTCACAAATGGGAGGACATGACAGTAGTGGTTATTGACCATAATCCAAGATGGACAGACGCGCAGAGAAAAGGCAAGGAAAAGTTCTGGATGCACAGGCTGAAGTCATTCCGCCCTAATGGTATTAACAAACTTAATGACTTCACCAGGATGAACGTGAACTAGACCCGATCCCGAATTGTAACAAACAAGTTCATTCTCTCTATATAGTGTAAACTTTACCGTTAATTCGTATTAGTAATCCTGGAACAACCTACCCAAATATTTACAGCTCACATTTTTGTTTATTTCTTTTTTCCGATTTCCAAATTTATAATATATCCAAATTCATATTTCAAAATTGTCCTTCCATATTATCTTTCTTTAATTTCTTGTTATCATGTAGAGTTACGCTATTTTGAGAGAATAAGACAATGTACGATTTACTGTTGGCTGTAATTAATTAGCGATAATTAATTCGTTCAATTATGTAAATCACACTTCACCAGAGTACACCCGATAGACCGGACGCAATTCATAGCGCTCCGGATTTCTTTGTTCACAACTATCTATAAACTCAAAATTAAACATGTAACATTGTAAATATTTAGTGTTTGGTAGTTTAGTAGTAGTGCTAGTTGTTTTTGCTTCTCTATTTCCTTTGTTTTTATGACTTCTTAACTTTTTTCTTTGTCCTGAGGAAGGGACAGGTTGTCCCGAAAATTTGACAATTATTATTGTTCGTGTCGTTGGTCATTTTTAGTGCTTTATATAAATTTCCATCCGTGACCTTGTATCTACTTAGTAGATCCGACACTTAGGATATACAGTGTTGTTGGTTTTTAGTGCTTTATATATATATATATATATATATATATATATATATATATATATATATATATATATATATATATATATATATATAAAAAATACTAGATGAGTTTTATATTTTTCTAGAACGTTAATTACTTTTTCATGCAAGGCAGAAGCAAAATACGTATTGTATTTTGGTGCAAGATTTTTAACCTTTTATTATCAAATCAAGAATCAAATTTTATTTTTTAAAACAGTATACAGTTTTATTTATGGAAAAAAAGAGGTGATCAGCAAAGTGACATGTCTATTCAAATTTTTAAAAGAAAAACATCTCTTATATCACCCTTGAACGTCTGTTTTCTTCCTGTTTTTTTTTTACCCATTTGTAGAGAAAGGATAACGTAGACCTAAGTGGCTAAATCATAAAAGAAAGAAAGAGACACATTTTAATAGAATAAAAGTGAAAAATTATTATTTGTGATCATGGTACCAACAGGTGACGCGACTGTCTTTAATTTACAATACAGATGACCTTGAACTTTACAATATCATATCTATGTAAATCCACTGACAATAGTTTAACTCTGTTTGATACGAAGAAACAAAATAAGATTGAGTGAATAGAAAAATGCCATTTATTTACATTATAAATGACTATATGAAAAAACACAAAATGTCATGCATATAAACATATACTGCAGAATCAGAAAAAATGAACAATTGAAAGATATAATCAATTTTGTTTCAATAGGTATCAAAGGTGGGGTATAAAAATTCGCAAACATCACAATCCTATATATATTTTCAGCAAAATAAAAAATAAAACATGAAAAACAATTCTAAAAGTACATGTATCATACAAAACCATTCAATGATAACGATGCTGACACAGCAGTAATTACAGGTGGTGTTGGGGCCGGACGGAGAGCAATTAAAATAACAGCTAGATTTTTGTTTGCGCGGTGACTGACAAA